TCCGATGGAGCGCCTTGGTCCTAAGTGACGTCTAGTGGCCACGAGTGGGGAAAAAGGGACTTTTTTGAGTGGTGCTTGGCGGCCGCGAGCACCTAGACACAGGTGTGTGTGTCCGAGTGGAAGTAGGTCAAATCTCTGCAGGTCAGCGCGACTGAAAGCGCTGACTGAGGTATTGGATGACCTTGAGGCAGCTGGCGTTGAACAGTGACGCCGGACAAAGCAATAGAGAAGGTGGGACGGCAGAGACGGCTACATATAGACAAGTTAGGATATCGCGGGATCTCTCGTAGCTGTTGGCAGATCAAGTGCGTAGGCGGTGAGCCGGCACGCGTAGACACTGAACTTGCGCGGTATTTGGCAACGAAGCCAGCGTGAGTCGGTGAGGCAGGCTCCCACAGACTAACAAGAAATGCTGTGCGAGCTCTACAGAAAGATTCTGATGACGTGTGGTAGCCCTTTGTCATACTTGATTTTATCTACTCGTTTGTCGTACTTTTAGTTGTACACAACATTCTACAGTAATTCAATTTGATACGCATTTATCGCTTTTTGTTTAAGTTGATGTAAAAATATTTCCCACCACACTTCAACTGGTTTGCATAACGTACCATAGAGGACATCTTGCTCCTATTGTTGTTCTGTACTATACGGTGTCGAATTTGGCATATCCAGTGTAATGGGCTCGATTTATCTTGACGTGTTCTAAGCGTGTGATTACATCATCGAATGCCTTTCTACTAACCAAAAACACTCGATTTTTGCTGATCGGGTCACTTGTGTCGCATCAGACACCCGGCACTGAAAAAAGCCCCATCTCAGCGTCCATCATTTTCCTGAACTTTCAATAAATTGCTTTCTGTCCAATGCTTTCGATATTACACTGTATCCCAACGCTGCTACCGTGGTGGGGTGAGGGGGGCGGGGCGGGGCGGGGCGAACGATGACAAGTTGACTGCCCAGTAAAGTGCCACAACTCGAATAATAGTGGCCTGATATGGCAGAGGGGAATCTCCAACAAACATGGTTCTTTGATACAGTTACCCTGTAATTAAGATTCACCAGGTTCAAACCGTAGAGCAGACAATCTCGACAGCGTTATAAAGAGGCCTGGAGAAGTCCCTGACCTGCATCAGCTAATCACTGTCAGTGACGGGGATGGTCTAATTAGGTGAAAAGAGATTTAGCGCAAAGTACATGACTGACCTACTTGGGTGTGTTTCTGGATGAAACAGTTGTAAATTTTAAACCTTGTTTGTCCTTACATACTGACAACCATGTTTTTATTAAGCACTGCTTCAAGCATCACCTTGCCCGGTGGTATATCATCGACAGTCGCGTGATCTCACAGACAGAGAAGTTACTCCGCTTGGGGTTTCGCACCGGAATGCAAAAATGCAGATCTAAGTCCATCTTAAGCTAACGTCCGGCTGCCTAGAAGACTGGAGCTAAGAATTCGATAATTCAGTGCGATTGAATTTCTTATGAGTGACCTTCTTTTCTGGTCTGCAGTAAAATCTAGGGCAACCTTGAATTCATCAAGTAACAACACATCGACTATATGAGTGAATGAGTCTTAGCCCCCTGCTCAGATAGGTTGTATCATATAGTTTTATCATCTCACGATAGACCTCATCTAACCCCGACCACGATGAAAATACAAGAACGCAAGGGTTCGAGGCGAACAACACATGTTCTTCAGTCAGTGAGTAGCAATAACGCGGAACAAATCTCTATCGAAGTTTTT